TAAATAAATACACAAATTATTTTTAAATTCTTAATTTACAAAAAAAATAAAAAATAACAATTATTTTAAAATAAAATAATAAATACTTTATTAGAAATATTAAGTAACTCCTCATTAAAATTTTTTAATATTTTAATTATTAATACGTTTAACTTTTTTTATAATGAGTTTATACAGTAATAAAGAATTCTCGAAGCAAGAAGAAAGGACCGCCGCCCTCAGACCGATTAGGGAAAAAAGTTTTGTACCCTCGTGTTATTAAATTATTTGTAACATATATAATCCAACTTAGAGAGATGTTTTCCATATTTTATAATTGGTTGCATAAGAAGGAAATCTCTCTTATCCTTTAATTTTTTTTTATATTTTTTATCTCACCCTACACGTATGTCATGCGATTCAAATTTATGATTATTTATTTTCAATGAAAAAAAATTACTACTGAATTATTTATATCGTTAATAATTGACAAAAATATTATGTGCAATATAAATTATATCAAATCATACAAAATTAATTACATATAGTTTTGGCTTTATAGTTTAATTTATAAAATCATTTATTCTCTAAATTAATTATAATATGTTTGATTGTATGTAATTAGTAAATTAATTGAGATTAGAGCATATATTTAAAATTAAATTTAATAAAAAAAATTGAATTAACATAAAAATATTTTAAAATGTCTTTAAAACAATAAATAAAAAAATTAAATATCATCTTCTTTGTTGTTTTAACAAAGAATGAAGAAGACTAATAGAACAAACAAACACCGCAGATTCATTTCTTTTCTCCTTTGCCTTTTTCCAAGGAGTTCCACAAGCCGCGGTGGTCCACGTCAAAGCCCTTTTATGGTGGGACTCCACAGATCTCGATCTTTCTTCATATATCAAAACTATTCTTCTCCGATTTGCTAATCTACACTCCTAAGGTTACTCTTAAGGTTGGTTATTATATTTATCTAGGAATTTTTATATGTTTATTTTGTAAAATTGAATATATTGAAGAGGTAGTCTATTGGAGAACTATTGGGTTTTCTAAATAAATGCTAGTGGATTCTTGATGACAAAGTTAGATTGCGTTCTTATTTGAAAAGAACTCTCAAAAAATGGAGAACAAATGAAAGAGGAGAAAGTTACTGTTTTTCTTCAGACAATTTTCACTGATAGCAATAGTTGTTATTATTTTTTAATATAATAGATATTCTAAAAATTTTATTGATATTTATATATGCAAAAAATTAATGATTAATATAAGATAAATAGATACTTCATATATAAATATAAATGTTATAATCACAAAAATTAATAGAATTGGTTCAAGGCGCAATCTAACAATTACGGTGTAGCAGGAGGCCAAGGCAACAACAAAGAAACTTTCTCTTTTTTAACCCAATAAAATTGAAATGGAAATTATGGCCCTGGAGGATTTAGTTTGGCCCTTGAGGATTCAGCCATACCGTGGTGCCATAGCTGGTCGTGGGTCCAGAAGTGGCTGCAACAGTAAGAGAAATTCCTTCAACAGGGGTACAATAATCATAATACCATCCCCAATCAACTATGCAATAGGAATTGCCCAGAGCTCTGGCATCATGTCACTAATTTTGCTACAAGTACAAGGAAGGAAGATTAGTGAATAGACTCTGGAGCCTTAAATCATGTTACTCATGATCCAGCAAATTTGATCCTTCATTTTGAATATGATGTCCGTCATGTAGTAATTGAGAATGGATTAGGTTTTGGCTATATGTCATGTGAATGAAACCACAATTTTAACAAAAAATAAACTTATATCCTTGAAAAATGTCTTATGAGTACCTACTACTTCTCATAACTTAATTTTAGTTACTAACTTTGTCAAACTAATAATGTCTTTATTGAATTTCACCTTGACTATTTTCTTGTGAGGGATTGCATTACTAGGGCAACATTTCCTTGAGGGCTCAATTATCATGGCATATATCAACTATCCATTTAAAGTCATAATCACACTCTTTTGTTAGTTAATCCGTTAAAATGTCCATATAAACATATTTTCAGTTATTAAATTTATAAGTTCAAGATTAAAAACTGTGCATATTTAGACAATTTTATTAGATTAACTAACAAAAAGATTTAAAAAATGTATTTTTCACAATTCAGGAATAAAAAAGTGAAAAAAATAGTTTAGGGACTAAAAATTGTTAAAAACTAAAAGTTTAGGGACTTACATTGACATTTAACCATCTATTAATTACAAAATATAATTTAAAGATTTATATGCACCCACAATTTTGTTAAGGTTACACAATTTTATTTAATTTGATTATTAAAAATAATTGATAGATAAAATAATTAATATATATTATTTAACATATTAAAATTAATTTATAAATTGATACTTTTAGATATCAAACCTAATTATTTGAGAAAAAACTACAAAAAATAAAACATCAATCAAACAAAATAATTTTTAAATGGTTTTAACAAAACAATGAATGGTTATAACCACATAATTTAGTAAAAGTTTCTTAGGTCCCAAAATCAATGTAGTAATTGAGAATATGTAATTTAATAATTTTTTTAATTATTTGAATTTTTTTTATTATGCATTGGGTCCCAAATATCTTATTATGATTAAAATGTCCCTAGAAGTATGAACCACATTTCCTCGTGAGATTTAATTCCTTCAATTCATCCATGTAATTTTCATCTAATTTTTAGAATTAAGAAACATGAAAATTTTGGTGTCAACCGTCTATGTTGGCATTTAATTGACGGAATGATTAAAAAAGTTTTGAAAAAAATCAACTTCAAAGACCATTTTAGTATTTTTCAAAGTTTAGGGATGATTTTGACATAAAATTAAAAGTTCAATGACCATTTTGGAATTTAACCTTCTTTGATATCACAACCTAAAACCCCCTGAAGAAATAGATGGGATGCACTTGTGCCAGTTTGCGGAGATAAGGACCATCTTAAAGTTAAAATAAATTTTTATGTTAAAATTTTAAAGTTAAATAAACTTAGTATATATTTGTCCATCTTAAAAATTAAATAAAAAATATTTTGTCAAATATTTTAAACTTTAAAGGATAATAAAAGTTGTAGAGCTCGCCATTATACTTAATTTTTTAGGTAATTAACTCCATTTAATTACTCACTTTCCTTTTTCCATTTGAATTATTCTTTAATTACTATTAGATTTTCTAAATTCTAAATCTAAGAAACAATAATACGATTTCTTTTGAATTTTTTTTAATAGGAGTCTCTTTTCAACTGGGATTTAAAAATTCCACATAGATTAAAACTTTTAAACAATGCCCTAATATCTTTGAAAAGTTAAAAAATTTATTATATTATTATATTTTTTAAAATATATTATATTATAATTTGTAACTATTGTTTTGTTGTAAGAGTAATGTTATAGAGATAATTTTTTATATAATATTTATATGTTATTAAATAAATGAATGCACTCAATATTATAAGTTTCAAATGAATAAAAAAAGATCAATCATTTCAATGATATATAAAGTTGTATAAAAAAATTATCTTAGAATCATCTTCTTTTGGGATGATTATTGTTTTAATTCCAATACTACTACTAAAATGACTTTAGATTTATACTTTTGAATTGTTAAGTTTAAATTTTACCATATTAGTTATTTTACAAATGCATTAAAAGTACAATTGCACAAGAATAGAAGAGCACGAGCCAATAACATCGTAAAATAACATATTAGCTTTACTTTTAACTAGAGGTGCGTGGTAACCATAAAATAAGTTTTTTTATATTTATATATTTTTTTGTTTTGTTTTTTTATTGTCTAGATGCGCCTTTTAACCATAAAATAAGTTTTACTTTTGTCTAGAGATGCGTGATGGTCATAGAATAGGTTTTCTTTTTAAATTTTTTAGATTTGGATAATTTTGTATAGTAAGTTCTAGATATTGGCAATTAATTTAATTAAAAATAAAGGTAAGTGTATCTCCTTTTTCTTTGTTTTATAATTTCTTTTTTTTTTTTATCATATGCTTATATTGTTATTTTTATATTTTTTTGTTGATATATATTGATAACTTGTGCCCTCTCTACCTATCAATTTTGGTTACGCCATTGACTCATGCGGAAGATGAACATTCTTACATGATGCTAGAACATCGTTCAAGTTCTCTTGTTTATCATTGCATAAAAGCACAAAGGTTGGATTTTGGGAGAATTAGCTGTTGAGATTTTAAAGTTCCAATGCCCAACATCAATACTATTAATCAACTCAATCAACCACCAAAAACAAATTAAACTAAACAAGAAAAATAAAGAGGATACCAAAGATTTTTACGTGAAAAATCATAACGGGAAAAATCACGAGACACTTGCCTAGATACAAATCAATCAATTACTGAAATAATTAATTACAATTTTCAAATCAAAATCTGAATCTCTCAAATCTCTAGTAACTCAAAGGGAGAAATGCTCTCAACCTTATCGGCTTATCCTTTATTTTTGTTTTCTATTTCTCACCGTTTTCTCATGCACACACCTCTGCACTCATTTTACATTATATACTAGAGATAAATAGGAGTGGTTTTAGATACAAGGATAGTAACAACTATCCTATATCATGCACTAATTTGTTAACATGTCCAAAGATAGAGGTGTTTATTTTGCCTTTTTCATTTGCTTCAGAAACAGCAAGTCTATGTTAATAACTTCTCAAGATTCTATTATTATCTGTGCACTCAAGGTGCATTTCCATTGTTGAGCCACCCAACTTGGGAGGGCTAGCTCAACATTAGGTTGCCTTTAGTTGGTAGCATGTCAAACATCAATCTCTAAATAAAGAAACTGACCTTTTTGGGAGTGAATATGTTCCTTATTAGGGTATTGTTTAGGCAGCTTCATAATCCAACACTGTTGAAGTCCTCAGCTGCTTCTACACCTGAAAATCTTGAGGATATTTCCTCGGGAAAAACACTTCGACGCTTAAGTCAGCAATACTCGATATTTTAGAGAAAAAGGCTCTCAAGGAGTAATTGTAGAGAAAGAAGCGTAGAGATTAATTACCTTCATCGGAGGTAGTTGGGGGTTATTTATAGCCCTAAATGCTGACATGAGCTCACACATGTATTCACCCAATTGGCCCACGTGTTACTACCCACGTGGGCATGTCTCCTCATCTTGGGCCTGTGGGTGTATAACTGGGCCTGTTGCATGCAGCCCGAAGTGGGTGTTGGGCCTATTCCCAACATTACTCCCCCTTGGCGTTCGGTTGATGAACTAGGTTGGGAGTCTCACTGGCATGGTGTTTGACCCTAGGGATGAGGAGTGACATTTTATGGTTCATGAACGACCTCACGTATGGCCGATCTGGGCGGCCTGCAACCAGCGTGGCTTGGTCCGAGGCGCATGTATATGCCAGCTTCCTATCGAGCAGGCGTGGGGAAGCTGGTGTTAAAACCAGCGTGAGCTCGGTGCTAATTGGTGAGCTAAGCAGACGTGCAAAGGCGAGCAGATGGTGGACGACCTGAGCCATCCAACCTTCGAAGATTGCATGTTTTGAGGTCGCCTTGGTATTTAAGAGAATAAATTACAAATTAAACCCATACTGATGGAGTGTGAATACCAAGACGGGCTGAAATGAGCGACCTCCATTATCACTATAATGTAGATCTACGGGTTACAAAGTAAATCTGAGAGATTTGTTACGAGCTAATTCACGAGATTATTCAAATTTAAAGTTGAGGCAAATCTCTAAGGAGATCTCAGATTCGTTACGAGCTAATTCGTCGAGATCTCAGATTCGTTACGAGCTGATCTTTCGAGATTTTTCAAATTTAAAAATTGAGGCAAATTTCTGAGGAGATCTGCTTAGGGCGTTTGGTATTCTTCTGCCAACGGTAGATATCCCTCTACCTTCCCACAATAAATGCTGGCTCAGCATTTGAGGGGACGTGATAGCTGCAGACGGCTAAATTTGGGCACTTAACCATAAATGATTGCCATGTGGACACGGTTAACTAGAGGGCCATAAACATGCGTACGGCATTCATGGAGCACTATCTGAAGGGCAAAAAACAAAAACAATTACTCAGTCATTCTCTGTTCCATTACATAGTGCTAAGCATTTTCGTTAACAAAGTTTGCAGAGGCGTTCCAAACCATTTCTCAAAACTTCCAGCAAGAGGACATCCGACTTTAACTACTCAAGTAAAAATGGCTTCCTTTCATGGTGCACGAGAGTTCCGAGGTAACCAATGTGATGAAGAGGAAGTAGATGTGATATCGGTGGAGCCTATTGCCATGATAGTGCCGCCGAAGTTGCAAGACTCGCCCAGAACCGCCACGCTGGAAAGTAGTGCTAGTTCGAGCACGGGTGGTGGTTCTGATGACCACTGGCCTTCAACGTCCAGCGATTCGCCCATGGAGGAGACACCCAGTGAAGTGGAGGGTGTTGAAGAGGTTGGGTGCAGTGCGCCGGCGACGAGTACAGAAGTGGAGGTGGTTTTGTTTGAAGGGTGGGAGAGCAAGGTTCTTAGTGGAAGATTGGATAACCTTCGCAAGGCCCCCAAAACCCTACCGGCCGGCTTTAAGTTCAGGGCGGCACTGCATCACGAAGTTGCAGATGGCGCGGCCACAGTGAAGGGGTACAAGAAGTTGGAGGAATGGTGAGATGATACCAGATCCCAAAGACCATTTTGATCCGAGCTGGAACACCAAACGAAAGGGTGTGTTCAGTGTCGAGGACAGGCTGGGTGCCAGTGTACATAGACCATTTTGATGCCAGTTTGCGTTTTCCTCTGCCCGGACTAATTTTTGATGTCTTGGCATAGTACGAGCTGTCCCTCTCGCAGTTGACTCCCAATAGCATAAAGTTTATTATAGGCTTTATGTTGTTGTGTGAGAGGTTGGGGACGCCTGCAAAGGCGGTGGTCTTCAGGTCGCTCTTTCTGTGCTGTTTGTGCTTGTCCACTAATGGAACGAGATGGTACTACATCTTGGGGAGAGAGAAGATGATGATATTCACCAAAATCAGAAATAAGGTGGCGAGGTGGAAGAGACAGTTTGTCTTCATTCGTGACACACGAACTGAAAGAATCAGTAACGAGCTCGTCGCCCGTCTGTCAGAGTGGCGTACACCCAATACCTATATGAACTACCCACAGTTGACTGTTGGTGATGTCAACCTGAAGCATCGGCTGCTCGAGTATGTTAAGGCAAGGGGTTTGGTAGATTTAGAAGCCTTGGTTACCCAGGAGCAGATCGCCTTACTTGGGTTTGTCGACGTGGCAAACCTACATTTTGAAGGTATATTTTTATAGTATAGTATAGTTTCTGGCCGATTTGAGTCTTATGCCTTTGGTTGTGCAGGAGAAATGAGCAACATCCTCGAGAGGCAACGTCAACGAGCACAAGGCTCGAGGAACCGTGGAGCTGGGTCCGGTTCCCAACGCCAGACTTGCTTTGACGAGCGGCCACCTACGACACTTGGGCACAGCTCATCGCATAGGAGTTCTAGCACCGAGGCCACGTGTCGAGCAGAGAGTTGAGCCTACGCCCTTAAGCTCGAGAAGGCACGCGAGGGAGGACTTTGACACCGAAGATGACATTCCCCTCATCTGGCGGAGGATGAGTACGGGGAATCAGCCCGCTCTAGCCGCTGTAGTGCGGCCTGCCAACGTGCCCCCAGCGCCAGCTCGTGAGGTCGCTAAGCCAACACCTGCCTCGTCGTCTGTAGCGGGGCCAAGGATTGCATACCCGGATGGCTTGAGTTACGTTAGAACTAATTGCCAGGCCGTTGTGCTACAAGGTATGCAGAGCTTTGTGCCTCCTGCAAACTGGCAACGTGCAAAGGGGCACGTCCAACAGCATGGAGGACATGCTGCTCTCATCAAGTTGATGGATGTAAGTACACTTACCGAGCTCATTGATGTGTTTTATCGTTTTGTGCCATAAACTAACAAATGAACATATATGGCAGGCGTTCAGCTACACGGTCGCACTCTTCGAGTGCAAGCAGGGAACGCGGGTGCAGAACCGCGAGCTCGAGTAGAGCTGCAAACAACTGGCCTTTGAAAAAGCCAGTTTGGCTGACGAGGTCAGTCGTTTGCAGAGCTCGGAGATGGCAAACCGAGCGACGTCAGCTGAAAGCCGAGTTGATGAGTTGGCCCGCAAGGTCAACGAGCTAAAGGAAGAGCTTAAAAAAGCTCAAGCGGAGAAAGAGAGCGGCATTCAAGCTACGAAGGAGGAGGCTGGCCGTGCAGAGGACCGAGCCAAGAAGGTAGAATCTGACAGAGAGAAGACTTTGCACGAGCTGAGCGCCCTGAGAGAGAGGGTCTTGCAAGCTGATCAGCACATCGCCCGGGCTGAGGCGTCCTTGGAGAGGACGAAAAGGCTCCACCAGTGCGACGTTTGCTTTGCCCGCACACAAGGGGCTGAGTGGCTGGTGGGAGCAGATATGTTCTAGGACGCCGTCGCAGTCGCGTCGGCCAACACCACCATAGATATTTTCAATGAAGTTCATGGAAAGGTGCTGCAAGTCCGGGCTGACTTCCCCATTGGCGAGCTGGCCTTCTTTGAGGGCGAGGAGATTGATGAAGAAGGGAAGAGCCTCGCCTAACCAGTTGACACACGGGTGAGGCTGAAATGGGAGCTTAATGAAAAGGGGTTGCCCGTGTGGCCCCCTACCATAATGGAAGAGGGGGAAGACACAGAGGGGTTGCCAAGCTTTGATGCTTGGTTGGCAGACCCCCAGGACATGCCTGTTGAACCTTCCAACACTCCTCCCTCTTCTCTGCCTCAGCCCGCCCCGACCGCTGCTCCTGCTCTCTCTCCTTCAGATCGGTCATCTCCAGCTCGATCTGCTGCTGCCCATACGGACGCATCCATCCCCGTTGACTTGACGAATGATTAGTTTAGGATTTTTGTTTTCTTTTTTGTATTGTTTTTGCATTTTTGTATCGATCAATGAATCCATTTAACATGTACCTCAAATGTAAAAATCATTGATGAAATACAAACTTCAATTTTCCTTTGAAATATCTGCATTGACTGTTGTTTATTTTCTGTACATTACCCTTTACAATTGATTGATGATAACTTGAATAAGATAATAATATACATGCTTAACTGTAAAACTTTCTAAGATTATGTATGTTCCAAATGAATGGTAATGGGCGACCTTGTAAATTTGCTAATTGATAACACTCAGGTCGCTTAATACAAATAGCCATATAGGGACCTTCCCAATTAGGAGCGAGCTTGCCCATGTGCGATTAAGTATTGGTCAATCCAGCTTTGCGTAAAACCAGATTGCCGACCTAAAACTGACAAGCTCGAACCCTTTTATTATAAAATTTTACAACACAACTTTGATGCGCCATGTTTCTTATTCGAGACATCTCCCTGACCTCTTCCACAAGGTCTAGGTTCTCTCTTAAAAATTGCTCATTGTTATGATCGTTGTGCCAATCTGCTCTATCGGACGGCAATTCGACCTCTACAGGGATGATGGCCTCAGCTTCATAGGCAAGGCTGAATAGGGTTTCGCCTGTTGCCGAGCTGGGTGTAGTGCGACATGACCAAAGCACTTTATTGAGCTCGTCAACCCAATTAGAATGCGTAGCTAAAACGTGTGTCTTGAGGCCTCGCAAGACGATTTTATTGGCAGACTTGGCTTGTCCATTAAACTGTGGAGTATACACAGATGTCAAGGTGAGCTCAATGCCATAGTCATTGCAGAACGACCTCAATGCCATGGCTCAGAACTGTGGACCATTGTCAGCGATGATCTGCTTAGGTATGCCGAACCTGTACACAGATGACTGAGTTGAGCCACAAGTTGTACTTGCATATAATGTACGAATGACTTAAGCCGCCAAAGAATACTTGCATAATATTGAATTGAACAGGAATTCCTCTATTTTCTTCTCTATTGTCATGGATAAGGTTTTGGCTTCTATCCATTTCGTGAAGTAATCCACCGCGACAGCTAGGTATGTGCAACCTCATTTGCCTTTGACAAAAGGGCCGAGTAGGTCGACTCCCCACTGAGCAAAAGGCTAGGGTGATGAGAGCACTTCTCTTGTTTCAAAAAAGATACTTATGCTCAGTTTATAGACAAACATGAAGTTTGCACGAACTTTAGGACGAGCTCAGATACTTGGCATGTGAATATCATCAGCATTGAACTGGCAGGTCGAGCACTTTTTGACATAGCTTTGTGCATCCTCGACCATAGTAGGCCAGTAATAACCATGCCTCAGGAGTTTCTGAGCTAAAGTTCTACCACCTATGTGTGTGCCACATACTCCTTCGTGAACTTCCTTTACAGCGTATTCAGCTTCATAAGGAGTAAGGTAGCGTAGTAATGGCATTGATGCTACTCGCTTATAGAGCTGATTATCTAACAGTGTGAAACGTGCCACTTTGCGTTTCATCAACTTTGCTGTGGACGGATCTTCAGGCAGCTCGCCACTTCGCAAGTACTCAATAATGGGTGTAGTCCAGCTCGACGAAGAGAGATCTGTGCTTAATAATTGACACTAGACTGCAAAGTCGGCGTAGCTCGGTGCGTCAAGCACCTCGACAGTTGTTGATCTTTGAGGGTTGATATCTTGTGAGGATGCTAACTTTGATAGATCGTCAGCTCGTTGGTTATCTACTCTGGGTATCTTGTCGATTTGGAAAGATACAAATTCTGATTTCAATCTATTGACCACAGAGGTATAATGACCAAGCTGAGGATCCCTGATTTCACAGCTGCCATTCACTTGGCCCACAACGAGCTGAGAGTCACTAAAAACTTCAATGCTCTACACTTTCAGCTGGGACGCTAACTTCAAACCATAAACAAGGGCTTCATATTCTGCAGCATTATTCGTTGTCTGGAACTTAAACCTCAATGCATGCTCAGATTTAAAGCCATCTGGGCCCACCAACACAACCCCAGCACCCGATCCTTCAATATTAGTAGCTTTGTCCACATACAAGACCCAAATTGGGTATTCGTGTGCCCTTTCTTCCACCGTCGCCGAGAGGCACACCACCAAGAAGTCTACCACAGCCTGGCCTTTTATGGTTGTGCGCGGCTGAAATTTGAGGTCGTACTCACTTAGCTCGACACTCCACCCGATAAGCCGACCAGAGAGTTTCGGTCTCTGCAGTATCTTCCTTAATGGCAGATTGGTATAGACAACAATCTGATGTGATTAGAAGTAAGCTCTAAACTTACGAGCCGTGTATACCAAGGCAAAAACAGCATTTTTTGCTAATGGGTAGTTCTACTCTGCGCCTTGTAAAACCTTGTTCACATAGTAGATAAGCTTTTGATGCTTGTTTTCTTCCCTGAGCAAAATCGAGCTCACCGCCTTCTCTGTAACCCCCAGATACAGGTATAAACTCTCCCCCTCCATAGGCTTGGACAGCAACGGTGCTGATGCCAAATATCGCTTGAGCTCGTCAAACGCTTGTTGACATTCGTCGGTCCATTGAAAGTTCTTGGGCTCTCGTAGGGCTTTAAAGAACGGGAGGCATCTTTTTACCGATCTGGCAATGAATTTGTGCAACGCGGCCACACAATCTGTCAGACGCTGCACATCTTTTACGGTCTTAAGAGGCTCCATCTGCTGAATGGCCTAAACCTTTTCTGGATTCACCTCAATTTCTTTCTTGGATACCATGTACCCTAGGAATTTTCTTGATTCTACAACAAATGTTCATTTCAAGGGGTTTAGCTTCATTTGGGCTCTGCGCAGGTTTTGAAATGTTTCGTTTAGGTCGTCTATGTGATCCTTAGCTCGCTTGCTGGTGACTATCATGTCATCCACATATACTTTAATATTCCTACCGATCTGGAGCTTAAAGATGACTTGCACCAGCTTTTGATATGTCGCGCCAGCATTTTTTAGGCCAAATGGCACATGACATAGCAGTAGATTGCGTCACTAGCATAAAATGTCGTTTTCTCCTGATCGTCCAACAGCAACTAAACCTGGTGATAACTCGAGCTGGCATCAAGAAAACTCATCCGTTCATGTTCCGCGGCTCGTTCTACTAACTTTTCAACATTTGGCAAGGGATGAGGGTCTTTCGGACACACCTCATTTAAGTTGGTGAAATCAATACACATCTTCCACTTGCCATTTGATTTTTTGATGAGCACAAGGTTGGACACCCACTTAGAGTATTCAACTCTCCTTATAAAGCCTGCCTGTAGTAGCTTTTGTATCTCTTCATCTATAGCAACTTGCTTCTTAGGGCTAAAAAGGCGACGTTTCTGAACCACCGGCCTGTTGGTAGGGTCCGTGCTGAGCTTGTAGACTATCAACTCTGTTGGGATGCCCAGCATTTCATCCGTTGTCCACGAAAACACATCCTGGTTAACCCTCAAAAACTCTAGAAGCTTTGCTCGCTCCTCTTCTGTGAGCTTGGTGCCGATCTTAACTGTTCTTTCTGGCACATCAGGTTTTAAAGGGACTGCTTCCACTGGTTCTACCGGCTCAACCTTCTGCTTGACACCCTTAGGTCGATGCTCAATATCCGATATGCTCATTGTCTGCTGACTGAGCTGAGTTGGCCTGTGACTTTCAGAAGAGCCTCTCGGGGCTGCAGCGAGCTCGACCTTCTTAAAAGTATCTTGATAACAGGCTTTGGCCATCTTCTGGTTCCCCTTTAGCACTCCTACCCCCTGAGGAGTTGGAAACTTCATACAAAGATGAGGTTGTTAGATGACAGCCCTCAGCTCGCAGAGGGTGGCTCTTCCTAATATAGCATTGAAAGCTGATTCCATTTTGACGACCAGAAAGCTGACTGAAGCCATCCTGAATCGTGGTTCTGAGCCCACATAGATGGGAACTGTAATTACTCCCTCGACTGGGACGGGTTGATTATTAAACCCATAGATGGGCCCTTCATATTTTTGTAACGAGCTTGGATTCAGCTGCATCTTTTGAAAGCAGCTCCAATACAAGATATCCGGTGAGCTACCAGTATCAATGAAGACCTTGTTGACGTTATGATTGCCTATATGGATTGTTGCCACAAAAGGGTCTGCATGAGGCATCATAACATTGGGCTCTCCGTCTGCCCGCTTACAATTTGCTGAGCTGAACGTAATGGGTACGTTCTCCCACTCTACTTCCTCAAATGGCTGCTTCAAGGGCCTGTTCTTGTTAACGGTCATCACTTGTCGGGTATATGCCTTATAGCCCCGGGCGCTCTGGCCCCCTGAGTGCATACCACCAGAGATCATATTGATCGTGCTAGATGGCGGGGGTATCCCACTGTATCCAACCCCTTTGTGGTCCTTTTGATTTTGCGTGGATGCTTTCTGTCCCTGCCCTCACCTATTGAATGGGCATCCCTTGTATTTTTTGTTCGGCTCGGACGAGTACTGACTCGTCTGGAAAGGAATTGGATTGTTGCCGAGCTGATGTCCCTGTACTTGAGATCGGCCGTACTCTTGCACAAAATGGGTCTGGGTAGGTTGCCAAACGTAAGGCTTCTGTACATACCCCTCCAACTTTCAATTGCGAGCTAAGAATTCAAGCTTGTCCTTCAGGCTTTGACAGTCTTCCGTGTTATGGCCGTATCCACTGTGGTAGTCACAATACTTGCTTCTGTCAGCTCGTGAAGAATCGTGCGTTTGGGGAAGGGATTTTTTGACCCAATGTTGTATCTGCGCCAATATTTGGGATCTTGACGAGCTTAGGGGAATGTAGCTGTCATATTTTGGATAGGATGGCGGTTTTCATCTCTGCTCGCCAACCTTCTGTTTTTTCTTATCATCTCTGCCCTCAGGTTGCTTGGAGTCTTTACCTTGCCTATCATCAGCTCGTCTCTTGGAAGATTGGAAATCTTCGGATAGTATGAAGCTTGCCGACCTGTCATTTACTTCATTCCATGACTTAGGTGGATTCTCCAGTAGGTCGTCTAGAAACCGGCCAGGCTTCAGACCATGCAGCAAGGCAGACAAGCAGATGGTATCGGGGACGTTGTCAATGTCCAAAGTAGCTTTGTTGAATCGTTGCATGTAGTCCCTCAAAGATTCTCCCTCTTTCTGATGAACCTGCATCAATTTAGTCGTTGTACGTTTAATCTCCCTTTGGCTTGCAAACTTGTTGGAGAATAGCTTGGCGAGCTGGGAGTATGAGTCTATAGAGTGTTTGGGGAGTTTATGATACCATCTTCTAGCCGTTGACTTCAGTGTCACTGGGAACACTTTGCACATCATGGCGTCATTGGCATTTTGGATTCTCATGATGGCCTGATAGGTATGCAGGTGCTCATCTGGGTCACCTAAGCCATCATATGTCTCTAGGTGGGGGATTTTGAATCCCTCTTGATACGGTTCTGCTGTGATGGATAGGTTTAGTGGGGCACTATCTAGGTCAAGGGTCTGCTGATGTGACTTGGGGCTTTTTAGCTCGTTAATGGATTTCTGTACGTCTTTGAGTTGTCTTTTGAGTTCAGCATTTTTCTTTAGCAATTCTTCATTATGCCTGGATGAGCTGGGTTCTGGGTTTAACCTCCCACTTCCCCTTGGTCTGGTTGGGATCACCACATTACTCAGGGCCGAGGAGTTACGAGTTGCAACCACTACAGCTAACTGTGCATCCTTGTTCATCAAAGGAATCAGGGGGTCATCAGGAATCTGGCGGGCAAGGATTTTACCCATTTCCATTTCGAGAACTCTGGTTTTCTTTTTGAGTTCGGTTGTCTGAGCAGGCTTTGTTGACCTTTCAGGTCATTCATGTTGTGAATTGTATGGTCTGGGATGTCTTTGCCTTGTTCCTGTTGGAATTTGGAACTGTTCCGGTTGAGTTGCATACCCAGTTGGTGTTCTTTCATCATCATCTATTTCACTTAGTTGATCCTATTCTGCTCCTCCAACGAAAAGGTTTCTTGGCATTGGCCTAAAATCATTCAAGCCGGGCTCAAACAATTGAGTGTCGTCCTGTTCGTCCATTTCACTTCTTGGAGGGCGACTTCCAATAAAAGTACGAACCATTTTGTCTCTCAGTAGGTTAAGTTACACAACTTCTTGTTCAGTTCCCAAAGACGGCGCCAAATGTTTGGGCAGCTTCATAATCCAACACTGTTGAAGTCCTCAGCTGCTTCTACACCTAAAAATCCCGAGGATGTTTCTTCGGGGAAAACACGCCGACGCTTAAGTTAGCAATACTCGATATTCTAGAGAAAGAGGCTCTCAAGGAGTAATTGCAGAGAGAGAAGCGTAGAGATTAATTACCTTCATCGGAGGTTGTTGGGGGGTATTTATAGCCCCAAATGCTGACATGAGCTCACACATGTATTCACCCGATTGGCCCACGTGTTACTACCCACGTAGGCATGTCTCCTCATCTTGGACCTGTGGGTGTATAACTGGGCCTGCTGTATGCGGCCCGAAGTAGGTGTTGGGCCTATTCCCAATAGGTACAAGTAGAAGCATTGAGACAAATTGATTCTTTCAGACTACATGAATACAACTGTGTAATAAAGATGTTAAATATTTTTATCAAAAAGTAAAAAATAAAGATGTTAAATATTATAACTATCAATAACTGTACGGAAAAATCTATGGATATGCTAACTTTAAACTGAGCACATATATGGCGATCAAAAAGAGTGCAAAGTTAAATTTAAGTTGGCATTAGGCGTAATTCAAATTCTTAGTTTAATGTTAATACTTTTTATTCTGTAGGACTACATGAATACAATTGTGCAATAAAGACATTAAATATATGAACTATCAATCAACCATACGGATATACCGAAGAATATGCTAGCTTAAAATGTTGACCACATGGCGATCGAAAAACAAGACTATATGTTGATAGCCATGCTTTCTTCTCCTACGCTAGAAAAGGTTTATAAGATAGGTGAGGCTATTAGAGATAACAAAAAAATTCTAAGGTAACCTTTTTGTGCGCAAAATAGCCTTATTAATGTTATGACATTTGCTGATATTTAGAGATTCTTTGTACCTAATTGTTTATAGGTCAAACCCTTAATATACACTTTAAATATTATTATTTTTTGTAATTAACTTTCTTTAAAATTTTTATTTTTAGTCAACGTCCTTTATAATTTGAAATAAGTAAAAAAACTTAAAATTAATGATTAAGTCATACAATTTTGAGTGTAATAGGAAGTTTGATTGTTAATTTTTGAGGTTTTTACTAATTTCAAACTTTGAAGAATGTTCGTTGCAAAAAGCAATTAAGTACAGGTGCAAATAAAAAATTTGACCTCATCTATATATATTATAAACATTTAGGTCTTTCTACCCGTGTCATAAACCTTTCTAGGTTTTTAACCTTTTATGTTTAGCCTATATGCAAAAGTATAGCTTGAACTGCATTGGATTTAATCATTTTAATAGAACTATGCTATTTTATCATTAAAAAAAAATGGTGTTCTTATTTATCATTTAACACTAAACAACAATCACTAATTATTATATACTAAACAATTATTAAAATGAATATCTACTACACATTATCTATAACCCACCACATTGCACTAGTCACTATTTGATACTTATTATCTACTATTGACTTACCACTAAATCTATACCCAACATCCCTTAATATATTCAGGCAAACTTTAACAAGCAATCTCACAGTAGTCTATTGTATTAAAAGAAATTAAATTTGTTTGGATACTGAATACAAAATGTAAAACATAAAATTAAAGCTATATAATAACCTTACTTACAAATATAACCCTTATTTTTTATAAATAACAATAAAATAAATTCTAAAAAAGGAACCTAAATTATTCCATTTTCATCAAAGTCTACAAACCATCAAATTTTTTTAATCTGAATCGATCGGAAAGTATTACATCAAGCACTTCCATGGTTGCTCACTAATTGTTACTAAAAAACTATGGTGACTTTGCACCTTCGCAAGCTTTATAGTAATTCTAATTCTTCTTCTTTATCAAAACCACGATAGAATAAATATGGATGCACAGCAAAATTAGCTTAATTTCAATGGCTAACAAGTAAATTTCAGAGCCAAAAAGGGTCAGCCAAATTCTACAATCACCACTATCACCTTCTCCTCATCAATTTCCTATAGCTAATGAGCAATTTTCAGAGCCAAAAGACTTGAATGAAATTGTTCCATCATTGAAGTATTCTCCTCATCAAT